ACCTCTGGCTTATAGTTCCTCTATTTTATGTTAAAGTGAGTCAGACTCTTAGGATGCTAAATGTAAAAAGTGTGTGCAGGGATTAATACAGCAGGGAACTACCAAGAATAGAAGGGATTTTTTTTTTAACCCAGATCAAAGATTTGAACTGGGAGAAGCTAAACACTCTGCTGTTATGTATTTGTGGATTCAAGAACCAAAAGCTTAAATTAAAACTGTTTCTTTGGATCAACCTCTACTGAAAAATAACAAAGTTTAAAAAAAAACTGATTTACACTGGAATGAAATTCCATGAGCCATTTATAAGCTTCAAAGTAATTAGAACAAGAGTGTATAGACTAGCAGTCAAATACTCTTGTACCTGGATTGTTAACAGTATTTGAGGTGGGAACTTCAAAGAGAAGGTGAGCGATAAATGAACCCATAAAATAGATACACAGTGAGATAGATGGATTGGTAGATATCCTGAATCTACATTTATAATAGGTATATATGTATATAAAATACCTTTATTATAATACCAATATATGAAATCTTGAACATATAGAAACACATAGAAAAGTGCAGATAAATGTGGAAAGCTTATGGTGCAGACAATTGCAATACAGAATGTCATTGTGTTTCTGCATGCTCTCATTGAAGAATGTGGTGTAAACTTTGTACCAATTTGTATAAGTGTGTAACATGTTACACACTGTTGACCTGGTCAAGCTTTTAAAAATACCCTTTTAACTGACAAGTAGCAGGTGAACATGCATATAGTGTATAGTGTAAGAGTTAGACACAAGTACACTGTGACGATCGGATTACATCATTGGCATTTCTACCATCTTAGTTATATGTCATTGGTTTCTGCCAGAGCTTCAATATCATTTTCACTTGACATTTTGAAAGTTTTAATTCATGATTTCTAGCTTTGATATCATTCTTTGCTGTTGAAGGAGTTATTCCTTCTGCTCAAAAATGTATGGATGACATCCTTCTTCATTCGCACTCATCCTGGTCATGCAGAGACTGCTATTTTATCTTGTATTTCTTTGTGATCAGCTTATAGCTCCCATATGTAGAAGGGACAGTGTTTGTGATAGTATGTGTTTTATTTTCATCAGTTTGAGAAAGTTTGTATTTCCTTCATGATTTCTTCCATCAGTCCTTTGGTAGTTCAAGTGACTATCATGTACCTTGTGTGCGTTTATATAATTCCTTAAGTTGTTATTTTCTACTTTTAGTTCATTAGCAAATAAGATGTAGAGAATAATTTCAGTTTTTAAAAGTATGTTGGAAAATGGTTTGTTGGATAAAGTACCATCTGTCCTGGAGATTGCTCCAGAAAAACAAGGTGCATTTGTTAGAGCTGTACAAAGTAGTTAGCATTCAGCCAATGCATTCATGAATACAATGCATCTTGATCAATGTCATCCATTTATGTGAAATGTTTTGTTAAAAATTGTTATTATAAGGGAGTTCTACAGAGGAGTTAGAGCTTCATAGATCAGGTAATGAGGACATTTCTTTCTGGGCAATGTTACCCCTTCTTTTGCTCTCTCCCAGGTTTTCCCTCCTGTCTCCACCCACAGGTGTTATAATTCATTTTCAACATAATGTCTAGTGAATATTACTGTTGCATTTGGTCACCTTTTGTCTCCATTTCTGTGTAAATGGAATGTTTTGTAGTCTCTTAGACCAATTTGGCTTACAGTATACTTTAATATGTTGTGATTGATTTATTGTCTGAGTGATCCTTCCTTGTTATCAGTGGATTTTGATGCTGCCAACTTTTTTTTCGATTTATTTGAGTTTATTTTATGCTAAATTTATTCCCGTGCCATAAGTTTTTGTTTCTTCAGTTTCTTCTGGGATACATTTTTCTTCTGTGCAACCTCCTCCTCTGGTTTAGGAACAATTTGATCCTTCTCAGTAAGGATCATCTCAATGTGGCAGGGGGAGCTCATGGATGGGTTAATCCTACCATGGGCTCTGTAAATTCGGTGGCGCATCTTAGGTGCTTTGTTCACCTGGATGTGTTCAATGACCAGGGAGTCTACATCTAAACCCTTCAGTTCTGCATTACTCTCTGAATTCTTAAGCATTTGCAGCAGAAATTCAGCACTCTTTTTGGGCCACTGACCCTGTTCCAGCTTCACTGTTTGGCCTGAGCACACCTGCCAACTCCACCATTGTAACGCCGGAATGGCACACGCTTCTTTAACGTGACATCTGTCAGATACTTAGTCTCTTTTCAGATATGCATACCCTTGATGGCCTGTGCTGTTTCTCTAAAGTGCTGTTTCTCTTAAAGTGAACATGAAGATTGGAACCTCTTGGCTTGCATGATTTTGTGGGGTTTTCTGGGTCGAGAGAGTAGCAAGCCATTTTCACAGGTCACCTCTGGGCGCTTACAGGAAGAGCTGCTGCCAACTTTTATGCTGTTTGAGGCTATGTTTCCTTTTATAATGAATGTTGTTAGTTTTATAGTAGTATTTTCCTGCAGTGAGTGCAGGACAGTTACTATTTCCAATTGACGATATTTTGGATAACGTGCTGTCTTTCTTTGTATCATTATCTAGTTTTTTTGGCTAAACAATCTATTTCTTTCTCATATAGCATGATTACTCGTGATTGTGTTTGGTTTACATTTGCAGAGAAAGTAGTCTTCCATTACTTCAGTTTCAGATATTTAAGCCTTCACTGGTGAAATGTGTCTAGTAGGAAGTATATTATTGGTTTTTAAACTTAACTTATTTTTCAATCTGCATCTGAATAGGAGTTGGGGGTCTGATTGTTCAGTGAAGACATATTCCTTACATTGTTGTATCTTTTTTCATGTGTCCTTTGTTCCCTTTTTGTTCATCTTTATGGTTTTATGGTTATCTGTATTGATGAGTGAGTCTCTTCTCTTTTGCTTAGCTGGTCTATGGACTTACCCTATGTGATTGGCAGTAAAAACATTTGATGAATGAAAGTAAATGATGGAATGACTTTAGAATTGATAATGTCTGTGAAATTCTCATGTGTACAACATGTAGTGGCATTTGAAGTCAATGTCCAATGGTAATATCTATGTTAACACTAGAGAACTGTTCTAAGTGTGAAATGTTTACTGATTTCACAGGCTGTAGAAAATGTGTTTTCCTATAAAGATATACAGTTTTATTAAAATATGAACTAAGAATAGATGCAAATATGAACATGAGTAGCTTAAGCCCAACCAGTTCATGTCTAGAAGCATTAGCTATAGCTATAAATGTGGTAAAATGTGTGTTATATCTGCTATATATTTTTTCTTAGTGTGAAACCTTCTGAAGTTTCTCGTATTGGAAGTGAAAAGTGAGTAACAAAACCAATATGCCAACTGAATACACACGCACACACATCCATGATTCTAGAGAGTCAAATAGAATGAATTGAAACATAGACACACACACATAATATACACATATAGTTATCTGAAACAAAAGCCATAGTTGTGCATGTCTGAGATCTCAGGAATTAGAAAACATGGAAAGATTGGGATCTGCTGCCAGACCAGACCCCAAAAGGAAACCCTATGTAAAACATTCCTTGAGCAGTGCCTAAGAATGATGAAATGATGCTGTTGTAGCATACCTGGCTAGTAGACAAGGGACCACAGTCACCCTGCCTCCAAAGAGAGAAAGAAGGAAAACAGGAAAGAAAGGACAGTAGGACAGAAAGAAGGAAAAAGGAAGGAAAAGAAAGAAAGAATGAATAATTGGAAGGAAAGAAGGAAGAGAAAAGAAAGGAACTTAAAAACTAGGAGCAAAAGGAAAAAGGAGGTTGAGATGTGTGAAGTGTTCATCAAGAATCTCTGGACATTATACACACTCTGACAAGGAGTATAGATTCTTTCACTGAGAGATTTGTGGATGACTTTATTATCATTAGATCAATGAGGATAAGAAAGCAATAGGTCATGAGACGTATACTTCTTTTTGGTTTTGTTTTGTTTGTCCTAGGGCTTGAACTCAAGGTCTGAGCACTGTCCCTGAGCTTCTTTTGCTCAAGGATAGCACTCTACCACTTGAGCCACAGCACATTCCAGCCTATTCTGTTTATGTGGTACTAATGAATCGAACCTAGGGCTTCATGCATGCTAGGCAAGCACTCTACCACTAAGCCACATTCCCAGCCCATATACTTCTTCTGTGTTGGTCATTTTAGTAACATATTCCTTTAGAAAATATCAGGTTTCCTACTTTTGAGTCTTCAGTGGATTGGGCCAAAGGAGAGAATCCTGTTTACAGAAATGAAAAAGTAAGAGAAATAGATAATGGTGAGCAACAGAACCCTGTGCATAAAAGATCTAGCTCATGCACGTGTCCCTTTTAATGTAGAATCCTGTCACTGTGTGAAGCTAGTGTCCAAAATATTATTATCTCTAGCTCTGACATTTTACAAGGCTTGTTCTCATCCCAAGTCTGTAACGTACCTAAAAGAGACCATACTTTAGGCCTGACCCTGTGTTAGAGCAAGATAGACATTTATGATGCTGGACCTAAGAAGCAGGCTTATAAGCAGGAGCTTATATAGGTAGGAGGGATTGAATTTAGAACACACAGGGGAAAAATCAAAAGCTAACACTCTACTTTTTTGAGTAGCAAACATGGAACAAAATGTTCAGTAGGTTAATATTTTCCCATTCCAAATATGTCCATTCCCACTCAGTAACACTTCTATGGGAAGGTGATTCACAAGTTTCAGAATAACTGATTTACTGGAGAATATAAATGCACTGGTGAGTGGGAGCACATGAAAGGCTCCTTGCTTCAACAGTCCCTCTGATGATTTGATGGATTTGATTTTGATGGATTTGATTTTCTGTGATGAAGAACATGATTGTTTGACCAACATTCATTTCCCTGAGTTGAAGCCCAAATACTTTGTGGCTCACTGAGTAATGTGGTTCTCTTCTCCTTTGGAGAGAATCTTGTACTTGGAAGAGGAATCTCTTCCAACTCAGTGAACTGGAAACCCACTCACTCTCAGAATTTGTTCATGTTTATTATCAGTATTTTATGACCAAGCACATTTATTTAATGATCTGATATTTTAGGCTCCAAATAAAGGATGAGAAGAGAATGGAAAATATAGGTTTAAAAAATTGAAGTCCACTGGTGTATGACCTGTAGACTAATTTAAATCAGAATGTGAATTCCAGGAAGTCAGGTGATAACTGACCATATTCTTTTTAATTCCTATAGTATATCTACTTATGAATTGCATTCATTTCCTGAAGGCAGAAGGTAAGATACAAATAAACCCATAAAGTGTATGGATAGACAAGTGTACATATAGAAGTTTATGTGTGTATATATGGACATGTGTATTCATAAATATATGACTGGAACTGAATACTTGGACGTAAACAGAAATCACAAGCAAGGACTGGTGGTATGTGTAATGCAGTGTGTGTCAGAACATGAAAGACCCTGTGTTCAAACAGCAGTACCACTAGTAAAATTAAGGACATGTCAACCAGAAGCCAGTGGCTCATACCTGTAATCCTAGCTCTCAGGAGGTGAGATCTAAGGATGATGGTTCAAAGCTAGCTTGGGCAGGAAAGTCTGTGAAACCCTTATCACCAAGTAACCACCAGAAAACCAGTAGTGGCACTGTGGCTCCAAGTGATAGAGCACTAGCTTTGAGCACTAAAGCTCAGGGACAGTGCCCGGGCCCAGAGTTAAAAAATATTAAGGACATGTCTTTCAGGAAGGGTTTGCTTGTCGCACATGCCTTTAATGCCAGCTGGGTGGGAATTGGAAATTGGGAGTAATCTCATTTACAAGCCATATTGTAAACAGTTACTGAGACCCTCATCTGAAACAATGGATCTGTCATTTGAGCTTAGTGTTGTATTGCCCTCCACCCCTTCTAGCAGCATAGGAATCAGAATATGGTCTGACGTCACTTCCAGGCCTTAAAGGAGACTCTATCTGAAAACACAGGCAAAGCACAAAAGGACCATAAATCGGGGGTTGAGCCCATGTCTTGTAAGCAGGCTGGACACACTGTCATCCAACTATAGTACCAAGTAATGAAAAAATGGTGAAACAAGATTGCAATTTGTAAAGTTGTCTCCTAGAGAAACTTGGGATTTCAGCGTGTCTTTGAAAGGTTTCACTGAGAGATTGTGGATGATCTCTATATTTTGATCAAATGGAGTCAGAAAGGGAAAGGTCATTAAAGTAATCTGGTTTTTTTGTTTGTTTGTTTTTTGGGTCCAGTTGTGGGCCTGAACTCTAGGCCTGGGCGCTGTCCCTCAGCTCTTCAGCTCAAGGCTAGCACTTCACCACTTGAGCCACAGCACCACTTCTGACTTTTTTCCTTTTTGCTTATGTGGTGCTGGAGAATCGAACCCAGGGCCTCATGCAATGAAGGCAAGCGCTCTACCACTGAGCCACCTTCCCAGCCCAAGTAATCTGTTTTTAATCAGTGGTTTTGTTACTCCTAATATCAGGCAATCCTTTAAAAAATACCAGGTTTTCTATTTGTGAATCTCTTATGGATTGGACCAAAGGAGGTGATCCTGTTTGGAGCCTAGAGGAGGAGGAGCCAAGAGGAGCATAGAGCTTTTCCATATGGGTAGTTAGTTTTCAACTGAAATCCTGCACACTTTGTTCACAGAGACATACAATTTTTATTTTGTGTTAAAGCAAGACAAACTTTTAGGATCATAAACTTAAGAGTGTGCATTGACTTGTGCAGCAGAGAATTGCCTAGAGTAGAAGGGATTTTTACCTAGGCAGTTGAGTTGAACTGGAAGAAACTAAAACCATAGCAATGTGACATTTTTATTTAATATATTTGTGAAATATAGAACAGAAAGCTTGGATTGAACTATTTCCTGAATAATATGTGCTAATGAATAAAAACTAACCTCTTGAAAAGTAGTAAAATTTCAAAAAGCTGATAACCATGGGGATGAACTTCCTTTAGAGTATATAAGTAGCAGAGTAAGTAGAACTAGATGTGAAGTGCAGCAATCATGTGATATCTGAGTCTATATTCTTTTCAAATCCCATAGGACATCATCTGAATGGGCATTAGAGTTGTCAGCACTGAACAAAAGGTAAGAGATAAATGAGTCCATAAAATAGACATGCAGTGAAATGGATGGATGGTTATCTTAAATACCAGTGTGTATGTATGTGTGTGTGTGTGTGTGTGTGTCTGTGTCTGTGTGTGTGTGTGTATATATATATATATGCGTGAACATACACTTACAATACATACATATGAAATCTGGCTCATAGAACAACACACCGAAAAAGGTGATGAATTTGAGAAGTTGATGGAGAGATGAATTGTAGTACGGAATGTCATTGTGTTTCTTTATGCTATCCTTGTGGCCTGTGGTCCCAGTATTGTACCATTGTACTACATAAATGTTAGGCATTTCTAGTTTAGCTTTAATAGATGTTTATCTTTTGAATTGACATGTAGTAGGTACCCATTTGTATAGTGTGTAGTATAAGAGTTTGACACACTTAATACACTGAGGTGATCAGTTTACATAATTGGCATTTCTGTGATTTTATTTATAATTGGTTTCTGCCAGACTATTCAATAGTATTTTCATATGGCACTTAGAAAATTTTGAATTCATTTTTTTCTAGCATAGATACTCTTCTTTGCTCTTGAAGGAGTCATTCTTTCTTCTCAGAAACACATCTCTATAGAGTAATATCCCTCTCCATTCTTCTTGCATATCCTGTTCAGGCCATGACTATTATTACTTTGAGACCAGCTTGTATTGCTTTAAGATCCACATGGAAATGTGTTTACAATAATATGTTTTCATTTTCATTAGTCTGAGAAAGTTTGTATTTTCTTCATGATTTCATCAGTCCTTTGGAAGTTCAAATGAATATTATGTACATTATGTGTGCTTATAAAATTTTTTAATGTATTTGTTTTCTACTTTTCTGGGGCTTGAACTCAGAGCCTGAGCATGGTCTCTGAGCTTCCTTTGCTCAAGGCTAGCACTCTACCACTTGAGCCACAGCACCACTTCCAGTTTTTTCTGTTTATGTGCTACTGAGGAATTGAACCCAGGGCCTCTTGCATGCTAGGCAAGCGCTCTCCACTAAGCCACATTCCCAGCCCTTATACTTTCATTTCATTAGTGAATAAGATATAGAAAATAATTT